AAGCAAGATCTGTACACACCCCATTGATGACAGAGGATCAGATCAGTGAAAGGCTTACTTGTACGTATGTCCCGTTATCTCGTTTCTGACCATGACGCAGTCCACCAGCCACTTGGCCAAAAGTCCAGAGTTGTCATGTCCCAACTGGACTGTGGTGAGTTTGCCAAGATTCTGACACTGAATGATACAGAAATGAATAATATGGAGACATGTTTAGATGCACATGACAAGAATACATCTTCAAGTGTGGTTTTGGATGGAGCGTGGAAGGGTTAGAATCTTTGTCAGGTTTTTATCCTCGCTGGAGAGATTGACCCTCTATACAGAAATCAGGCAGGACATATTAAAGCGGACCTTTACCCCTTTTACTATAAATCACCTCAGCGTGCAGCTCTGCATGATGATATGAAATCACCACAACTTCCTGGTTCTTATTGGCATTAGTGAAGTAATATGCCCACGCATTGCATTCTGGGAAGGTTACATCAGCAGAGCATTGCTGAGATATCTAATCTGTAATCTCATGAGATTTCAGGGGAAGGCATCTTGCTCCTCTGAGATGATGTACATGGGCACATGTCCTAGTCACGTGCTAGAGTTCCAGGAAGTAAAGGGCGATCTATTAATCTGCCCTTAGTAAAAACGGCCACCGTGAGCAGAATGGGAAGGAAAAGAAAAGTAAGATATACAAAGAATTAAAAGCCTGCAATCATCTATATATATATATATCTGTTTGTAGATGTCATTACTAAACATTTCTAAAAAGGTGTCTTTATTGTCATTTCAAGGATATGAATAAAGTTCCTCTTTAACATAAAGTGGGGGAAAGGCAAAAAAAACTAATAACAAATGTCTAACACAGATCAGCCCCTGCTGTAGCCTCTCACCTTGTCACCCGTTACAAAGTTATAGTGTTGCATTCTAATCAACAGGGGAGAGGAGACTGAGGAAATGCTCCCTCCTGATTGCAGCAGATCTAGGACATGATCTCCGTCTAGGCAAAGTCACTGACCTGAAGCTCAATTTAGGATTAATGGAGGAGCTTTTCTAAAGGATTATTCTATTGCAGTATATTGTGGCATGTTAGGAACGGATTCATACAGACTTGAAGTTCCTGATTGGTCAGCTTCAAAGCGCATATATAGCAGCCATACCTCAAACGTCATCTCCAGCAGGTTTTTGGGGATCTGCATTACGCCCGTGTCACCCAGCTCACCAGAGACACAGACCCAAGGGTTGGACGTGATGATGGCGTTGCTCAGCTTCTTGATGGGAATAATCACAGCTCGGTATGGAATCACTGGGGAGAAGAGACTTGTATTAGCATTCGAGTAAGAGGACCTACAAGAAGCCTCAGATATTTCAGAGTCAGAACTATACAATCTGTGTTCAGAGCAGAGCAATGATGACCTGCACGCTGCATTAACCCCTTCAGGACCAAAGGCCATTGATGCGTAGATACCCAATCCAGCAGAGTCGGTACATTTGTCAATAATTCTGTGACTACTATAAGGTTATTGACACCACCAATCACTAAATTCTCAAATAAGCTTTGACATGTGAATGGAAATGGCTTTAAATCCAGGTGGTCACGGACAGCGCCAGTCTCCACTAATTGGGAAGCAATCAGAGTGGTTTCTCATCACGTGGCCACTCTTGTCACAGTGATCGCAAGCAGGTTGGAGGCTTCATTGACAAAAGAAGCCTCCAGCTTGCAGATGCCACTGCAGCCTGAAGACAGCACTGTTTAATACTGTAAATTTCAAATACAATTAGAGTATCAAAATTAATACGATTTTACAAATATATACATTTTTACATCTTGTGCATTTGTCAACCTATAAAATAAAACAAAGCAGGGCTAAAAGGGCACCAAATAAAATTCAAAAATAATTTTAGGTATGCGAATTATCCATAGAGTTATTGTCTAGTTAACCAAGGCATGCTGATACTGCTACATTGGGCCGGGGCATCAACGACTTCTGGTACGCTGGGCACTGCAAACGTTCATCTACAGATTTCAGAAGCCTAGTGGTTAAGCACGTTTCTCAGTTTAGGATCAATTAAATATGATCGGTCGCTATGGAAAAATAATGCGCTTCTCACATCGCTAACTGCTCTTTACACTAAATATTAAACAGCCAAATGAGGTTCTTTTGCTGGGAATTCATTTTCATTGCATAAGAACCTGAAAATCGGGAGAAACTAACACAAGCCCAGCTGAAACATTGGTATACATCATTTAAATACAATTCACACCAATGAAAAGGTGTAAAGGTGTGCAAAGTCTAATAGTAGTTTTCTTTAGAAAACAGCCTCAGCAGAAAAGCCCGTCTCCTGCCAGCATGCTGCAGAGTTGCTCTGTGTGGAAGCAGTGGTCTCTCTGCAGAGGTCCAACATCCCCCTTGCTGAGGCACAGCCAGAGCTTTCCAAACGAGAAGAAGCATGTGCTTTGCCGGTTGCAGAGCTATAAGGCCCGGTTCACACCTAGGAGTTTTTGAGCAGTTTGAAAATTGCTTTTAAATGCCCAACACAAGAAACCCCATGATTTTCAGTGGCCCGGGTTCACACCTGAGCAGAAAAACCCCAAACGCCCGAAAAGGTACTTTTTGCCCCATAGACTTCATTGGAAATGCCCAAAAACGCGCAACAGAAGCACATTGTACATTTTCGTGAGCGTTTTTGCATGTTTATACGCATGTTCTTCCATTGCCCGCAATGTTTTTTGAGGGGTCAATCAAAAAGTGCATCCTCATACAAATGTGCACAACGCGCAAATAACGGCATGCTGTTAACGCATGTACAAACGCGCAAAAACGGTGCCGCCTAGGTGTGAACCAGGCCTAAGTCTGAGTGAGCAGAAGGCTTCCCAAACCTCTGCAGAGAGACTACTGCTTCCACACACAGAGCAAGAATGCTTCCCTGCAGCAAGCTGATGAGGGGCAGGCTTTTCTACCCAGGCTGTGGCTGCTTTATAATGTATTCAGCTGATTTAGGTTGTTCACTTGCTTTAATAGCTTACTGATGTGTATTACTGCACCTCGCACATAACCATTGCTCTTCGTGTTATCATCATACACCCGTAAATGCCAAATACTGAACCATTGCCTAATACACAGCCAGGCGGCCTTCTAATCACTACCTCTTCCGACGGCGGGCTGTAAGTGCCTTGTACCAGCCTCTCGATTTTGTGTGCTCGACATTTCCATCCTCACTCACGCAGCAAATCTATACATTATCTTCAATGTACAAATCGATCCAAAACACTTGGAATGACGGAGGACAATAACCTGGGTGACTTAATGGCTTCCGCTGGACAAACCTATTCATAGACCATCTGATTAATGAAGCAGAAGCTCATCCTAAAGACCATGAATTAAAATGCCCACAATCCCTTGCGCTAATGACTTGCACTGTCTAGGGAGCAGGATAGGCTGGGGGCTGGGGGAGTCAGTAGGCGCATTTCAATATCCTAATAAGCCTAAAAGGACAGCGAGTAGACATTTCAAGGTGAACTTCAAAGAATGCAAGCCAAGCGGAGGTCTCAAAAGGACATACTGATGGTGGTGAAGACGCTTGTGAAGCAGAAATAGTCCACGGCGTTCAGTGATAGCAGGTGATACAGGAACTGCTCCTTCTCCTCTTCGCAACGCAGAAAGGCGTAGCGTTTGTACAGCTTCCTGCAAAAAAAAGTATCAATTGGTTAAAGAGGACAAAGCATCGGAGATACAGTGGGGGGAAATTTATCAAAACTGGAGCAGACAAAATCTGGAGCAGCTGTGCATGGCAACCAATCAGCATCCACCTTTCATTTTCAAATCTAAACTGAACTGAAGAGAGAAGCAGATTGGTTACTATGGCCAACTGCTCCACATTTTGTCCGCTCCAGTTTTGATAAATTCCCCCCAGTATGCTTTTATGTTAAGTGCAAGCATACCAAGTAATGTGTATCCAAGTATTTATTACTCCTCACAGAGATCACAGTACTGCCCCTGACAATGCCTTTATCTGCTATATCTGCTTTACTCTTCAGAAGGAAGCACCATCTTTGTTTAGGTATCATCCAGGGTCACCATCTACCTCTTGGACTGAGATGTTGGCTCAGAGATGACACAATCATGTAAATCCTGGCGCCTTTGCAGTTCTTAGCTGCGTTTCAAATGTCGGACACAGATCAGCACCTGCTGCAGCCTCTCACCTTGTGATTTGTTGCAAAGTTACAATGTTGCAGTGTGATCACTATGGGAAAGGAGACTGAGGAAATGATTCCCCCTTCCTGCAGCAGAAGGATGCCATCATCTCAGTCCAGGCAACGTCACTGGACTGGAGCTCAATGGCTGCTTTATTAACAGGTAAAGCTTCATTCTTAATAAAACTATATTGCCAATCAATGTAAATTGTGATGTCAGAAATGTATTTCTGTAGACTTGTTGAAAAGTTTACTTTAACACACAGGAATTCATAAAATTAAATAGTCAATACACACAAATGTGATCGTTTTAATTAGCCAGTGGCAGGTAAATCATTTAGTCTTGGAAAGAATGCAGGAGAGTTGGGACCTCTGTCAGGTTTTACTATTCCCAGAGTTCCCATCAGGGAGATTTCCCCTCACTTCCTATCTTAAAGACCAAAGAGTAAGGGAGCAAAGTGAGTAGAAATCTCCTCAGCTGTCACTAGAACAGGTGTCCCCATTAGGAGATTTCTCCATTTCCATTTCTGGTGACAACCATAAAAGGTTGAGTTTCCCATCACCTTCACTCCCTGTGACAATGGTCACCAGAGCTAATACAGAAGGTGAACCCAACTAGTGGGTACACATTCAGAAGTACAAACCTAATAAAAGGGTTTAATCTTTCTGCAATACAAAAAAAATTAGGCTAGAGAAGGATCCTTGCTCTCTGTGTAGAAGCAGTGGTCCCTCTGCAGAGGTTTGGCACATCCCCAGCTGAGTCACAAAGGGGGAGCAGCCTGCACCCGGGTGTCACCATTGCAAGGGTGACACCAAAACGACTGTCAGTCATTTTGGTGTCACCCCTCTCTAAAAGTTTGGGCACTCGGTCATGGACCGAGAGCCTGACAGTGTCAGGAGAGAGGAAGAGACCCGGCGGCATACCTCATCCTGCCGGGTGAACATCCCTTCCTCTCCCTGCTGGTGTCCATCACCTCGGGACGCCCCTGGCTAGGCCTCTCCAATTAACAGGAAGCATGTGTTTTGCTGATTGGAGAGTTTTAGCTCTGACTCAGCAGGGGGTGTGTCAGACCTCTGCAGAGAGACCACTGCTTCTACACAGGACGCCATTCTACACCGTGCACTCAGCATATCCCCCATGACAGTGACACTCACTTTGTAAGCTGCTGATTGGTCAGCAGCTGTTTGAGATGCTGAGACAGTAGCTTCTTCTCCAGGGACAGTCGGATCCAGCCTCGGGCTCGTCCTACATCCGTCTTGATCACACTTAAGTGCTGGATATGTCTGGAAAAGGATCGTAAGAAATATTTTACTGGCATTAGTAGAAAAAATAGCACGTTAAATCGTATTTTACTTTGTTTTCTCCACTGGATTACAATACACTAACCAAACGGGATTTTGTTTGCTAAAGCACTGCGTATAAGAATTGCCTTTTTTTTTTAAACTAACATTTTTACTTCTTTCTCATCTTTTGTTCCATATTGGGACTGCTGATCCCATGCAGCCTCTTTGCAGCAACATCCTGTCTACTTCACAGCCTTTTCTAGGGTGGTTTTCCTGATGCCAATGTCAATTAGCACAGCCGCTTCTAGTGTCTATTTGCAAAGTAGTAAAGTATATCACCAGCACACCAAAGTAAAATCTTCACTGAGTGGTCATTTTATTGATGTACACACATCTCGTCATAAAGCAACGTTTCGGGGCCACTCAGTGTCCCTTCATCAGGCAATCCAAAACGTTTCTTTATGACGAGATGTGTGTACATCAATAACATGACCACTCGGTGAAGATTTTACTTTGGTGTGCTGGTGATATACTTTAATACTTGGATTTGAAGTGGTGCCATCCACTATCACTGCAGCACCCACTTTAAAAGCTACATACCAGTAATGTGTGCGGTGGGAACCTCTATGCAAAGTTTGTGACAGGGACAGAGATTTGTCACCCTATAAGACTGCACAAATATCTTTATGACAGGATCACCAGTTATTCATTCAATAAACGCTGCAGATTTAATGGCTTTTGAAATTACTATAACACAGGGGAGGGCAACTCCAGCCCTCCAGCTGTGCTTTAACTACAAATTCCAACATGCCTCCGGAAGTCATGCCTCATGGGACTTGTAGTTCCACAACAGCTGGAGGGCTGGAGTTGCCCACCCCCATGCCTATTTCATTCAGGGGGTTTATATATAGTGGATGGGTATATAGTTTTAAATGGACTTTAATTGACAAATTAGATTATCTCCAGCTAACATTTTTAATATTTTTGGGGGTTCAATATTTTGATTCAATTGTGTGTTAAAATTGTAGTTTGAGTTACTGAGCTCTATAAACAACAGGAGGCAAGGACAAACTGTAAACATTACTAAAGGAGCCCGAAAGCCCAACCTGCTGGCGGCCCAGGAAAATAATATTCATAGACAATATTTCATATACAGTGGTACCTCAGTTCACGAACTTAATTTGTTCCACGATTCTGGTTGCGAACCGAATCAAACTGTGATCAGACCGCGATCGCGACTAAAAGGAAGCCACGGCCATGTGTCAGAGCAGGGAAGATGGCTGCGGTTGTGTTCGTCACCCGATGCGGAGATCGTGAACAGAAGCAGAATTTTGCCGAACTTCCTGAACAGAAGCGTTCGTGAACCGAGGTACCACTGTATACCCAACTAAACACATTTTACAAATTTGTTTTTTAAATTTTTAGTCCTGACCATAATAGAGAATATGGATACAAATCCCCCAACCCAGACTGAGATATGAAGCTTGGGTGGATTGACCTTTTAAACTGTGAAGTGTGAGCTTCCCTGACAGTTATTACTCCGCATTTTAGATCAAGCAGCTCACACTGTGCTTCATTCATCCCTCCGGGTCTGATACAACAATTGCACGCTATTACAACTTTCAGGCCTTTGTTGGGAGTTTTCAAGGTTTGATTCCCCAACAAATTTGTATATTTCATACTCTTTTACATCTTGATAATCCCCTTGTGGGTTCCTCTTTGGAATTCAAAAATTGTATCCCTGTTTTGCTCTTTCCAAATAAACTGCAAAATATTCACCAGCTCGCGTCCTGGTGTAATTATTTGCTGGATTTGATGTTGGAGGCCAGGGGACCACTTCGTGTAATAGGAGGCTCTGCTGTGCAAGATTGAAATTGCTAATTAAGGAATTAACATTTTAAATTAACGGTTGTGGGCGCTGACTGCTACAACCTAGAAGCCTCCTTCAACGGCACAAATAGCCTAAAGACCAAAAAAGACTTTACAAAAGAAAAACAAAAAAGGAAAAAACATTGCAATGAGACAAAACACATTCGGCTTTAATTATACAGCACCTTACATTGGGACTAAACTTCCACTATAAAACGCTGGCAGCGTGTTGGGTTCTAGAGCAGAACAGACTTTTGATTTTTCATCTACCATAAAACCTCTCTTTTTCCGCTAACAATTTTAAATATTGTAACATATGTGCTGTACATTTATCTGCATCATATGTACAGCGCTGTCTACAATCCCAACCTACTGGGAATAGGACAAGATTGTACATTGCACAAGAGTACGAGCCACATAGCAGGACAAGTTCTATCATCTATATGGCTGACCAGTGACTAAGACAGAAAACTCCAAGACCAGAAGAGGACCGCGGGGTAGCGATGGTACAACGAGAGGGTAGCGCAGACCTTGCATAGACTAAGGAGGGCACACTAGCAGCAATAATATGCATGTACCCTGTGTGTACTTGCACATTATGGCAGGAGCTCTGGGGGCCCATAGTGGATACAGTTATACTGTAAAAGAGGAATTGTGGTGACTGTTGGAATCTGACTCTGATACAGGCCAGTGATTAAATTACAGTTGCAGTTTAATCTGCTTACATTCTCCTTCTCTGGTTCCTCATTACCCTATCTTCAACAAGTCCCTTGTCCTGTGTCCCACAATTCCCATGAATTACATATTTAAATAAAACCTGTTTTGATTGCATACCTTATTTCAGACCCAGCGATGTAATCACTGGGTTTCTGCGATTCCCTATGCACTGCAGGCAGATCATGGCTGGTGGGAGGGTCTGGCAGGGTGCTGTATATAGCTTCCTGAAAACATCTCAGCCCCCTGCCTCAGTACTTTAAGAGCCCTCATCCCTGATGCAAGCAGTAAGCTGGATCTTTGGAGGAGTTATGTAAATATCAAAATGCCTTGATGGGTGGATGTCAGTCTGGAGGAGTTCCTAGGCAGGGTAACACCCACATGTGATGCTGAGCCTCCATCAATTCAAGAACACAAATCCAATAAATGAAAGGGGCAGCTCAGTGACAGCAAGGCAATAACTATCATATATGTCATACTGCACTATACCTTATATTCAACCACTGAATTATTACATATAATATTATGAAAGGCTAGTATGAAAGAAAAGAGGTGATGATACTGGACATCCTCCAGCCCGGTAATTAGGTGGGCTCTATCTGACTTGCTGCAGCTTCTATTCCCTAGTTCTTTATCATCATGTCATGCTGGGCTACAGAAGCCTCCAGAAGTTGATGCTAAAGATCAATAGAAGTACAACTTCCTCCTACATTTATTTTTAGCTTTTTCTACTGTTGTCAATAGATCTTCATGTTCTCTCTCTTAAAAAGTCCCGGTGGCTCCTTGGCTGGGCTGACAGGATCCCAACTTTTTCTTTAAAGAACTCACACCGTCTTATTTTAGCTTTCCTGTCATAATGGCCTGACCTGCTCTCTGAATTATTTATCACGGTTCAAATATTTATGATCTACGATGGAGCATTGATCAGCAACTGAAAATGATGGGGAATATTGTTTACGTTTTCTTGGCTAGTGTATTCAAACACAAGAGAGGGCAACTGGCAGCCCAGTACAGGGTCTGTTTTATTATTGGTTTAATACAGCCCCACAGGACCGCAAGTAAGTGAAAAAAGAGAGAATAGTGGAAAGAAACTGGAGAGAGAGAGAGAGAGAGAGAGAGAGAGAGAGAATAGTGAAGGGAGAAAGAGAGAGAGAATAGTGAAGGGAGAAAGAATACTAAATGGAGAGAGAGGGCGAGGAAATGGAAAAGAGAGAAAGAGAAAAAAAATTAGAAAAATGGATCAAGGCAGAAAGATTTTTCTTCAGAACATAAGATTTTTCTTTTTATCAGCCAGTGTTTATAATCTTATGCCAGCAGCTTAACAAAGCCATATTAGTATTGTTCTGCCATTGTGAGCATATTGTCAGGACGTCATGTCACTGGTAGAAATCATGTCATGTATATCTTTGTGATTTAGGTAACACTACATGCTACGCTAGACCTGACAATGAGGCTTTATAAAGTGCAGTATGTTTCCGTTTAATGAACACGCTGCCCCTCACACACCTCATGTCCTGAATCAGTGACACCCGTAATGATGGTAATGTGCCATACGTATCCGATTTTCTTCTTTCTGAGGCCAGAGTAACTGAAATGGCAAATAAAAAGTAAGTACAATAAAATCACTAAAAAAAAAAAAAAAATATGATCTAAATCACAGAAAAATCAAGTATTTGAAATGCTTACTTGGGGGGTTTTTCTTTTCATATATTATTTTTTATTTTACTTGCAATGTGACTCTGAACTTGCTAGGAAATCTGAATACTCCAGCAGAGTCATAGCCCACTCTCCTTCTGGGAATTATGGTCCCTGCTGGCCCAGCTCCCCCTTCAATTTATTATGTAGCTGTTAGGGGAAGCGTGAAGGTGACTAATATAGAGAGTGTTACTTAAGTGACAGCTCTGAGACTGCTGGGGCTGCTGACATCACATCAAAGATGGCGGCACCCAACAGTAGTCTCAGGGTATTTGCACGTCTACACAAGGGAAGATTTACGGGTTAATAACATCCATAAAATATGTTACATGCATAGAAAACCTTATGGGCAGATTGCTGTTGAAATGGGGTGGTGACAGGGGCTCTTGAAAATCAAAGGCGCTGAGTAACGCAAACAAACGTACCTGGAGATTCAGAATTGCGCTCCTGCCTCTCTACCTGGTCCTGATAGTGGACTAGATGAGACCACAAAGCGGATTTTCCCTACAAGGAAGAACAAAATTACAATGATGTAAAGAGCAAGAAGTGAAATTCAATTTGTAGTAAACAGATCAGCCGGTTTCTCAGTATCTCCCAGATATCTTTATCTAAAGCTAGCCACAAACTTTAAAATGGGATTGTATAAACTCTAGGGCTGCAACCAACTAATCGATCAATAAGAACAGTTGTCAACTATTTTCATTATTGATTAGTTGGTTGGATCCCACGTGCGTATGCATGTGTGTATGTATATGTGTGTGGATGCATATGTATATATATGTATATACATATGTGTGTGTGTGTGTGTATGTGTGTGTGTATGTGTGTGTGTATGTGTATGTGTATGTATGTGTGTGTATGTGTATATGGGCATGTGTATGTGCTTGTATGTACGTGTGCAAATCTGTGTATATGTGTGTACACGGGTGTACATTTTTATTCCTTTTATTCCTTTCATTCATTTTATCCCCATTTTTATAAGTGCAATAGCCAGCCTGCTATTGGCTATTGCAATGGCCAATAGCAGGCTGGCTATTGCACCAGCCCACTACCTGCTGTATTTACATTCAGCTGACGTCTGCGGAATCTTGACATTGGCAGCTGTCATTCCCTGGCTGAAGTTATTCAAGCACAATGTGCTTACAATACAAGTTTTTTTTTTAAATTATAAAAAGGCGGGAAAAAGTAATTTATGGTTTTGGCCTAACAAATTCTGAGGCATGGGTTGCTTTGCAGTGCCATTTCAATGCCACCCCAAACTCGCCTCCCACCCACAGTGTGATCGCACTGGAATGCACTGTACAGCAATGCCGTGCGTTCCAGTGCGATTGCAAAAGATTGTGCATGCAGTTTTATTCTGAAGTAAACTTTATGTTTGTAAGGCATCATTTGTGTATTTTATTTTAAGGATGGTATTTAGTTAATTTTTTTTATCCGATTAACCGAAAAAATTATCGGACAACTAATCGATTATGAAAATAATCATTAGTTGCAGCCCTAATAAACTCATACAATGTTGCTTTACAAACAACTATGAAGAATAAGAGCCTATCTGAAGAATCCAAGAGCATACACTCCTAGTTACTGAGCATATACACTGAGTGGCCATATTATTATGACCACCCCATCAGTACTACGTTGGGCAACGAGATGACTTAGTTGGGCCGCCTCGTGACGCCACGAGATGTTGAAAGGTGATGCGAGGAATCTGACACTGCACTGTTGCCCTTCTGTTGTCTTGTACCAGTCTTGCCACTCTCTGTTCTGCCCTAACATTGACTAGTCGCTGACGGCCACAATTCGCACGTTCAGACCCAGATTTTCGGCTGACAGTCCGGTCTTTAAACACTTTAACAGCTGCTCTTGAACATTTAACGAATTCTGCTGTTTTGCTGATACTCGCTCCATGGCTCAGAGCGCCAACAGTCATCCCACGTTCAAAGGATGTTAAAATCGCGTTGTTTACCCATATCTTCAGAAATAAATCACTTCTACTGTCGTGGTAAACAGCCTGCTTCCCTATTTATAAAGGTCTGGGCCTCTAGCAACTTTAGCGCAAAATTATAGCTAATTTGCTTACAAACGTCAGGTGGTCATAATAATCTGACCACTCAGTGTATAACCCAATTCACAAAGCCATAATAAATTGGCAGATGACTGTGGATTGAACATATAGTAAAATCACAGAAAACTTTAATGTCTTTATTAATATTATACAGGATTTATTTAGCGCCAACAGTTTGTGCCGCATTTTGTACAGTAAAGGACAAAGTACAGTTACAATACAATTCAGGAAGAGTTAGGACAAGATCTGTTAGTTATCCAAAAACAGTCAAAGCTAATGCTGCATGCAGCAGATTAAGAAGCTCATCAAGGCCAGTCACTATAGATACAATGGGTTAAAGTGTATGTCCCAGCAACAGCAAAATTTACCCCCAAACCTCCCTCTGCCCCAGCATGTGTTTTTCCTCTCGCCTTGTTCCAAAAGCAAGAAACAGCTTTTTTCAAAATGTTTTTATTCCCTCAATATCACCGGATTGTAAATGGGATTGTGAAAGGTCTTGCTGGGGCAGATGTTTGGAGTGCACATGCTACTAACGTAGGCATGTCCCCAGAACTAAACTCTCCTAAGAATCCTTTCCCTACAAACAGCATAGGTGCAAACTTTTGGCGCTTAAGGCAGCAGCATTGTTATGCTGGAAAATAAATCAAAGTATGCATGCGGCGAGGGACAGAGAGGGGTGGGCTATAGATGAAGTTCTGTAGTCTAGCAAGACTTGTATCTTTCCTATTTTGGCCAAACACTTTTAACAACTGCACATTAATACATCCATTTCAGATATGTGAACCTTTAATCAAGGACATCAGGAAACTGAAAATCCAAGCTGGCAGACAACAGTAATATGAAGTATGGTACAATTATATCATGTATATGGTCATGTGATGTTGTCAATTGGACGGTGATACTGAAGTTTATGCAATCTGCGGTGACCTTATGACTTGGATCTGTAACTGTGACTGCGTGCATTTGTTGCTTGAATCAGTTTTATGGAAATGGAATAAACGATAAATGTTTTTTTCCACATGTGTAAGGACTGAACTTTGATGCATGTTGAAAGTCCCATAAACTACCAGCATGAGGTGTGGTGATTAACTTTGGACTTCCAGTGTATAACACCTCCTAGGCTACTGTATTTGAAAGGAAAAGTGTTTGGGTTACCCTGGATGACCAATCAGATGATTCCTTTCATTATCTAATCTGCGCCAGAATATCAAAAATGATCTTTTAAAATGTACCAAAAAATGGCTTTCTGTAGTGAAAATCTGCAACAGGCACACTTTTACAAAAATAAATATAAAAAGGAAACAAGGAATCCTTATGTATGTAGATTACCTGTTTGACCTGAAGACCGTGGCTCCAAATTCGTTCCAGCAGATCACACAGACTGGCTATCAGAGTGTTTTCTTCTAATCCAGTTATGTTGGCATCAGCATGACCCAACTCAACGGCCTCATGACCCATTTTCTCCACAAGCATCCGTTTTGTCTACAGGTACATACAGCACTCTGATCAGTGATAATCTATCACACTATAGGACCATTGCCAATTCTCATTGAATTTTATCTATAGCAAAACATTTAATTCTGTTTTTCAGCTTTGGATAGTGAAGCAAATGAATAAAGCTAAAATACAGATACATAAAACAATTAAAAATGGATAGCCCAGTAACAGTAACAATAAACACAACATAGCTTTTGCTGCAATATGCACCTTCAATCTCCCCACAGTAATTCCTTTTTGTTACTAACTGCTTGTACATCATTAGTGTATGTGTATGTATGTATGTATGTATGTGTATATATGTATGTGTGTATATATGTATGTGTGTATATATGTATGTGTGTATATATGTATGTGTGTATATATGTATGTGTGTATATATGTATGTGTGTATATATGTATGTGTGTATATATGTATGTGTGTATATATGT